TATTCTAGAGCCAATTCTAGCATTAAAAATAACAATACAAAAATGCTACAAATATAAAATCCCTGCCTTCTTCACTTTTATAGATTTTAGTAGAGCATTCGATACTGTGAATCACGAGGCCCTATGGAGGACACTCTTGGAAAGTGGGATCGAACCCAATATTATCTACATTCTGAGAAATCATTACTCTAAACTATCTGTCTGCTTTAAAGTCAACAATAAAATATCCCCCACCTTCAGAATAAAAAAAGGTGTGAAACAAGGCTGTACTCTATCACCGTTACTGTTTAATATCATAATCAGTAAAATTATAAGAGGTCCTAGGATGCGCAAATCTAATAGAAATAAGCTCAAACACAACAATACGTTTACGAAACAAAATAATATCTTATGCCGATGACATAGTCATCATATCGACTAGCTTCAAAGAAACGAAAGATATGCTAAAACGAAAGATATGCTATATTTATTAGGAACCCTTAGCCTAAGAATGGGGTTAAAAATAAATTTCTAAAAAACTTGTATTCTTTCTTCTACAAACGCAACTCAAAATCTATATTTCACAATTGATGGAAATGAAATCAAAATAGTTGACAAAATAAAATATCTAGGCGTCATGTTTGACAACACAGGAGGTTATGAAGAAGAGCTGAAAATAAGAATACAAAAATCAAGAGGAGCCTTTTATAAATACATGAAAATATGGAAAACAAAAGAAATATCTGTACACACCAGACTAAGAATTTTTAATTCCACAGTTATTCCAATATTGCTATATGGATGAGATCTATGGGAATTAAACAAAAGGGAGAACAGAAAATTACAATCATTCAATAACTGCCTCCGATCTTTAACGGAATCTTCTACCCGTGAGTAATATCCAACAATAATTTTTGGAAGGTATCAAAACACACCCCAATAAACATTACCTTAAAAAACGGCGCATTCAATTCCTCACCCACATCATAAGGAACTCAGAACAATCTAGTTCATGATGCAATTAAATGGCTATACACTTATAAAAAAAAGAATACACTAAATATAAATCCCTATGGTACTATAAAACAATAAAAGATGTTATGGAACTTAACTTAAACATGAAGCAATTCAACAAACTAAATAATTGCAAAAACTCTATCAAAAAACTTTTCCGTATTAGGGATAGATATCTGAAATGAATAATTTCTTAATATTTCTAAACCACTGTGTTGCTACTAGATCAGGACAAACTAAAACTCAATTGGTATGTACTTTATATTTTAAATGTTGTTTGAAACAATATATGCCTGAACAAAATTATTTTAAACTTAAAATCAGCCACAACCCACCCTTAAAGTAATTAACTTACGCAGCAGTTCTTGGGCATAGGCTCTTTATCTCTGCCCCGCTCTTTCTCTTGGAGCCTATGGACGCCTAAGTGCGTACAAGTACGTGCGGCTTGCCCACAAACGTGTAGAGGGCTCCTCACATTTTTTTACTTTCGTACCCAAATTAATTTCGTTTTTTTCCAATTAGATGGAAATGAGGAATACCTAGCGTAGCTCTGTTGTTTACTCAACGGCTAGAGGGCATATGCGCTATATTTCACGTATCACGTAAAATTGTAAAAAATACTGGATTTAAGAAATTGTTGGACTGTGATCCTCAAAATAAATCAAAAAAATTTTTAATTATAAAAAATACAATTCCATTGTCATTCAAGGTATTTCAGATGATAAAGCTAGGTAATTATATATTTTTTAGATTTTAATTTTTTTTTCTAGATTTATTTTAATTGAGGTTGGCTTTTTTAGCTAAATTATTTGTAATCAAAATAAATCAAAATTGTAAAAAAAATTTTTACCTTGTTTGGTTTTCTTTCCATTATTTTGTAACCTTTGAAAAAACTTTTTATATATTATGTATATTAAATTATATATTATATATATTATCTTTAATCAAAATTGTAAAAAAAATTTTTACCTTGTTTTGTTTTCTTTATTTTGTAACCTTTAAAAAAACTTTTTATATATGTGTATTAAATTATATATTTTATATATTAATAAGAAATATCTGTAAGATGTAATAGTAGATGAAATTATGGGTTTTTTTTGTAATGATATGGTTATAGAGTGATGTGGTATGGTTTTTATGGAAGTGATTTGTGAATGAATGATTTAGTTTTCACGTTGATTACCATTGATCAAATTTGCTATAATCATTTTGATTGGACAAATAATATTTAAAAGAAAACTATTGGCTAAATTTGATTGACATTTTTTGAGGATTATATATATAGATATAATCCCTTTGATATTCTTTTTTTGCTAATCCATTTTTATCAATATATTATTATATGAAACGTTGCAAGTTAGATCGAGCTGATAATCGTTAAGTTACGCTCAAAACTGTAGCCTGGAACTTTTACCAGGTGCGGTGGCAAATAAATCCCATAATCATTTTCATGTTTGTAGTGGTTAAATTAAGTTTTTATATATATATCTATATTGAGTGACAACTGTCAATTTTATTTTCGGAAAAATAATCTTGCTGGGGAATTTTATTTGCCGGGGAAATTATACTCCGTGGATTTTTTTTTGGGGGAATCATTTTCCAGTTAATTTTATTTCCGGGTATTTCTAGGGGGGGATTTTATTTTGTAATGAATTATATTTAGTTCTGTCCTAACACATTTTCTTTTATTATAAAATGCAAAAAAAAATAAAATATTTTTACAAAAAAAAAATTAATGTGCAAGACGCCATCTACCGGATTTTTATTTGATAATATTTTAAATAGAAAATAACGATATTTATTTTATAACGTTATAACGATATAACTATTTATTAATTTTTCTTATTTATTTTTTCCTATTTGGTATTCTAAAATTTATTTATATACAAAAAATAATTTTCTCCCTTTTTTTAACATACACTATTTACATATTTTTCTTTCTCTAAATCAACCATACACAAAACATTGTTTAATTTTGATTTTATTTTTATGACATATATACAATATTCTGTTAACATGGAATACACTTTAATATTTCTTTTTTAAAACAAATTTAATTTTTCTCTTTTTTATCACGTAAATTATTTACATATTACCACTATGCAACTCAAATAAAAGAGAAACAATTTTTTCGAAAACACCACTCGTGTTATTTTCTTTTAAAAAATATTTTACTCTTCACTTTTCCTTCCCTAAAAGAAACGCATAAAACATGTTATTTAATTTTATCCTCTTTTCTTTTATAATAACATAAAAAAAATATTCCCTTATACATAAAATGATTTATTTCTGTTTGTCCCCACAAGTGTACATTTCACAAAAATTCGATTTAAATTCAATTTAGTGATATTCTTTTGGCTCACATAGCTTTATATTAATATTTAAAAAAATGATACATAGATAATTCCAATTAAGTATTTTACTTTCATCAGCAGAAGTATTCACTCTTCTCTAAGATGATATGTACCCTCTTTCTTTAAATATTTCTTCTCAGTTCTTCATTCATATTTTATTTTTTTATATATATATATATTTTTAATTATCTAGGGTATATTTCTCATTGTTTTTTTTTATTTGTATAAACTTTACCACTAAAATTATTTAAGTACACAAAGAGTTCTGTCATTTATGCACCCAGAGGCTCCCGTGCACTCTTCCAGTTCGCGTAAAGCGACTTTCTGACCCTAAAAAAATTATATTGATACGTTTATGTTAGTAAATTTATAAAAAATTAACAGCATTAAAAATTGTACTTACTAATTTTTTTAAAAAATTTCACAAATAAATAAATTTTGAAATAAATTTTTATAAATACCATAAAATGAAATAGTTCAAAATTTAGTTATTTTATTTATTTATATTTTTAAGATTTTTTTGAAGGCAACTAGCCTTACAACTTTTTTATCCAATATATCAATCAGAAAGAATATAATAAAAATAATTATTATTTTTGAAATACATAAAAATCCTCTCTCTTCTCTTCTCTTCTCTTCTCTTCTCTTCTCTTCTCTTCTCTTCTCTTCTCTTCTCTCCTCTTCTCTTCTCTTCTCTTCTCTTCTCTTCTCTTCTCTTCTTCTTCTCTTCTCTTAGGGGATATTAAGGAGCTATTAAAAAAAAATTTTTTGCTTCAGGGGGCTATTCAAATTTTTCAATGGGCTCGAGCCCCGCGCGCCTCCTCTCTAGCGACGCCACTGAAAGTGAATCTAGTAGTTATGACCCTTTATATAGCTAAAATTGATCAAATTTAATAAAAATATCATTATTATTAAACTGTTTGGATAATGATATAATAATATTTATTTTAAAAAAGAAATGTCTACATGGAAGGCCCTAAAATAAATGTTTTTGATTTTATAAAATATATTTTCATATTTCACAGTTTCCGCCTAAGAAGGAAATTATAATACAGATTCAATGTCATAACTAGGAAAATAAAATATTATTTAAAATAAGCGCTGAAATTTCATAAAAAAATATTTAGTTAAAATTTTAATTTGTTTACTCATTTTATAAAAATAAGATGCGGATCCATTTTTCAAAAGAAATTTAACAGAAAAAGGATCAAGCCAGCATCCCTAAGATTTGGTTACATTAATGTTGTTAAACAGCTCGTTTTGAGCCGATTTTAAAAAACGGCTAACTCAATATTTTATCTTATTATTACGCAAGCCTGAAGATTTTGTTTGTAGAAGGAACAAAGGTTTGGACATCTATTATCAAAATCTCGACGCCTAGGCATTGTTTTTTTGGCTAAAATATTGAGTTAGCCGTTTTTAAAAATCGGCTCAAAACGAGTCGTTAACAACACTAGTTTACATCATCAATCTTTAAAATAATATTAGTTCATAACTTATATGATGTCTGAAAGAGTTCATAGAATAATGGGTAAAAAAATATAGCTGCAGAAGGCTAGGATAATATTTTAAGAGGATGGGTTAGATGTTGAGTAATTGATAGTTATTAAAATAAACCTGTATCTTGACGAGATATCTGTCGATAACATTATTATTCGAATTTCCTATTTATATTTTTGCCATTTATCAAAAGTAGACGAAAAAAATTCAGTAGAGATTATAAATGGAAGAGGATGAGAGCGAAAAAAAAGAAATTCACACCTTTCAATCATTGGTAAAATTTATTCCCTCATTTACTAGGCTTTTTTATATATATAGCCTTTTATACAATAAAATTATAAGTGTTAATATGTATTGCACTATAAAAAAAAATTTTTTTAAAGACTAATTGACTTATAATCAATAGGATATCTACAATTTTTTTTGATATCCATATAAAACCAATCCAATATTTAGATTGAATATTATTTACTGTCATATAGGAACCAATGTTATAAATTTATATTTTATATGATAATTAATAGCTGTAAATTATATGACAAAATAAGAAACTTTTTAAAGATTTCTTGTGCCAGCAGGGATAATAGCATAATTTAATTCATTATATTTTTAAATCCTTTTCTACTTCCGAGCATTGAGCAGATTTTAAAAAAAAATGTATTTGAAATATAATTGTTAAATACCCATAAAATAATTTTGAATAAAGTAAAATACTTTTTGAAAATAGATTTTAATGGTTATATTAACAAACTTATTAAATAACATGATTTATTTTCTCTAACTGAGCATAAAATGAATATTTAAATAAATAATTTATAATAATTAAAAGCATTTATATTTATATGAAATTATAAATATTTGAATTATTCAAATAAATAATTTTAAATACAAATATTTGTGATCACACCCAACTCTCATAAATAATATAAATATCACATTTTCAGATATTCATTTAAACAATTTGATTTTCTAAATAATAGGGAGATTAAATTATGAGCCAGGCCTGCCAATACTCTTGACCCTAATATTATATTTCCTAGTGAGCCTAAGTTTTTAAAAAAAAAAAATTAGAATTTTCTAATTTATTTTATTTAAACTAAATACACTTAAATATTGTTTATTTTGATTAAATACAATAAATTAAACTTTTGGATAGTCTTCAAAAATTTGTAGTTCTGGGCTCAGCTAATGACTTATGAAGGTCTCAGTTTTGAGGTCCTCAGGGTCTCAGTCATGACCTCTTTTTGTGTCCCCAACCCCCTTTATATGTTTTTTTTAAACAATTTTATATAATTTTTACATGTTTTTTTTTTACATTTTCACTAATTAAGATGATTTATATGAAAATAAAAACTGATTAAATATATCAAAATTGTTAATATATTATGTTATTTTATAAAAAAATTCAACAAATAAAAATTTTAATTCTCAAAATAGGGGTTGACATTTATCTTTTTTTAGCAAAATAATGTTTTAAATTGAAACATTGTTTATATATTTTATGCTCTTATTATATAAGCTTCTGTTCAAAAAAAAACAATAGCAAGCTAGGTTGTATTTACTAAATTAAAATTATATAATTATTACATAAAATAACCAAAAAAAACAACAATAATATTGGATTGGTTTTTTTAAAAATATTGAACCTGTCTTGTTTATAAAAAGAAATGGTCATTATTGGTCCCAGTTCTGATCTGATATTTAATATTGAGTGCAGTTCCAATAATCATTGTATTTATAGGGTGTTAATGATGTGTTAATTGAATCCTGTAAAAGCCTAAATTGGGAGACTCCTACCAAAATACAGATCGAAGCAATTCCTGCTGCTCTTCAAGGTATCTTAATCTTGAAATATTGTCAGAAGATTTATTTTTTATAACAATAACTCTTAAATAGGCGACAAAAATATATATTACTATTTTTGTTATATCTTACACTTTATTTTAAAGGTAAAGACATTATAGGACTTGCTGAAACAGGTTCCGGCAAGACAGGTGCCTTTGCCATTCCCATTCTCCAAAATCTTTTATCTAATCCGCAACGTTTATTTGCCCTGGTATTGACTCCTACCAGAGAATTGGCGTTTCAAATATGTCAACAATTTGAAGGACTTGGGGCATCTTTTGGCCTTAAGTGCGGTAACTAATTTTTTTTGAATGGCATTTTGTAATAGATTGACCACTACTTATCTTCTTATCTGATGAGATATTAAGCTGAGGGGGGAACCTCCCACCCTCTTCTCCCTAAAGAAATGAGTACAATAGAATTATTTATAAAGAATAAGTTAGAAATTCAAAAAAATAATAATGTCAAAATCAAAATTATTTATATGGTGAGATGTAATCTTACCAAAGGTCTTCAAAAAGTAAGCCTAAAACTCTCCAATCAAAATTATCATGAAAAATTTTTCTAGGAAAATTATGCATCCTTCCTTCTATGTTAGGGACAATGACTATAATAATATCTTGAATAGACTGACGATTGCATTCATAAGAATGCATTTGAAAAGGCCGTTGAATGCAAATCAGCTGGAGTCGCCATTTTGGTTCACCCATATAGTAATTATTTTCATGTTAAGAACTACTATATAAATTGATAACTTGCTTCCTTATTATCTCGATGATCAGGCAATTCTTTAATAAAGTTTGTGTCAGACATAGGAATAAATTGGCCTATCGTTTAAAATTTTTAATAATGATATGGGTGATCTAAATGGCATCACTAGCTGTTTTCATTGATTTACACTTTTTAATGAATGTTATTGTCAGTCTAGGTATTATTACGTCATTGGTTATGGAGCAATTTATATCATATATCTACAAAATGGATTTTATTTTTCAAAACCGTTTTATTCTTTTAAAATAGTTGTTATCGTGGGTGGAATCGATATGATGACCCAATCCATTCTCTTGGCAAAGAAACCTCACATCATCGTCGGTAAGTGAAATTTATCTATTTTTAAATAAAAAAAAATTAAAGATATCCCCTATTTCATTTCTATATTTTCTTTTTAAAAAAAACAATTTTTTATACCGTAATAGCGACCCCAGGAAGATTGGTAGATCATCTAGAAAATACTAAAGGATTCCATCTCAAATCGCTCAAATATTTGGTAATGGACGAAGCTGACAGAATTTTAGATATGGACTTCGAAACAGAGGTTTTTTCATTTTTCCTGCCCACTCATATTTATATTTTTATCTATTAAAAAAAAGCTTAGAGACAGAACCCGAGATCCTCGGAACAGGGACAAATCTAGATTAACTAACCTTGAATTCATAGTGGCGCGATTGGGATCGCGATTTGATCTCATAAACAGATTTTAAAAATCAATCAGCTGTTAAATCGCGATCGCAATCGCCCCACTATGAATTCAAGGTAAAACCTACGAATCACTATTAAAATTTCTAGGAACCCAAATTTATGTATATACACAACCTCATCCCTCTTCGAAATTTTTATAAAGATTGTTTCTCGAGAACGCTTTCCCCGAAGCGTAGCGTCTTTGGGAGGGGGGGGGGGCAAGACAAAACGGGTGCTTGATCACCAATTGAGTCCCAAACAGCTGTTCAATGTTACTCCATTTTTCTTTGCTTAAAATCTAAAAATTTTTTTGACACTATGTGAAAAAAAAAAAGAAAGAATGAATTTTGTAAACTAGCCAAATTTTGATATATTTTTTTATTTAATAAATATATATATGTTAGTTTCAAGGCGTTATTATTTCAACTTTAAATTCTTTTAAACGCCGTTTTTAAAAATTTAAATATCCGGTTTTACCGGAAACGCATGCCGTCATGTTCGGAATACCTGGCCCTACGGATTTCAGATTATTTTTTCCAGGAACTTCTAAACTAATTAGAATTATGACTCAAAGGTTAACGTCAAAATTGTCTAGAATTCAAAAGATAGGTATTCCAAGACGGAAAAAAAACAGATTTTTAAATTTTTAAAAAAAACGCGTTCAAAAAAACATGATTAAAAGTTGTAAAAACAACACATTGACGCTATCATTATACGATGGCGTACGTAATTCATGGCTTAAACGATTGCCGCGATAATTGAACGTTACCTATTTTTGTAAGCCACGCCATGTCCCCATATTTTTCGCATCACTTTTATCCATTAAATGCGAACATTATATCAAATTTCATAACCTATCAGGAAGTGTCAACAATTTATACAAATTCTTCCATCCATTCCCTGTCATCATATATTGTCATATTTATTGCGAGAATCCATGCAGTCAGTCACATTTGTGTTAGTAATTCCGGTTGAAACCCGGCCCGGATTATTTTTTCAAAAATTTTTTCGGCCCGGATATTATTTTTAAAAATTAAAATACGGCCCGGCCCGGGGCTTGAAGGTCTCTTATATATTTTAAATAAAAAATATCTATCTGAAATAAATCCGGACAATAATATAAAAATAAGGCTAAATAAAATATGCGGACCTGAATTTTCTTTCCATGTTTTATTTAAATGATCTTTAGCGATCAATTTTTTCATCTTCTGTCAGCAATACGATAACGCGGGTTCATGTATTTGGCTGCACAAAAGGCATCATTTCTAATGTTCGCCTCTCTTGCCTTGATACGTGTTGGAAGGTGCTGAGAAAAGGGTGTTTGTACCTTTTGTGTTTCTATTAGACAATTTAGCCAAGCAGCATAAAAATCGCCCATGGTTAATTGTTCAGTTTGGAAGAATTTTTGTCAATATTAAAGAAGGCTTCATAGCTTTCAAAATATCTTTAATTATATCCCATTCATCTTCGCATAGATGAATGCTTTCATCCATTTCCATTTCATCACAATATCTTTTCGATTCCATCAATCTTTCTAGCATGAGGTAGATAGAATTCCACCTGGTACAGCAATCAATCAAAGGTTTTTTAAGATTTAGGCGTGTTAAGATATTTAATGAAGTATGAGTTCGAATTTTTTTTGCATAATGATCTAGCTTTATTAATTAACAATAGTTCATTAGGTGATGTTTTGATACAATCATTGATGGCTTAATGAAATGTGTGGGAGGCGCATCTAACTCCAACTTACAAGGATCCAGCCATCCTAAATATACTATTACCAGTTTCATCAATGCGATATTACCAATATTTGATAAATTATTCTCGCGTGATAACATCATATCTTTGTCCTCAATATCTTCCAGCTCCATTAGAAGCCTGATTAACTTAATGAGTAGTTATGCTATATATATCTTGTTAATATCTGTGTTGTGTGTTTTTAAATATTTCCAATAGTCTGATTCTATGCGCCTCCCACACCTTTCATTTAGCCATATGATCGTATCGAAACATCACCAGATAGAACTATTGATAATTAATAAATCATCTAGATCATTATACAAAAAAAATTTGTACTCATACTTCAATAAATGCTTTAACATGCCTAAATCTTAAAAAAAAACCTGATCCTTTGCTGTACTTGATGGAATTATATGGATATTGAGATGAAATGGAAATGTATGAAAGCATTGATCTATGTTAAGATGAATGGGAAATTATTAAAAGATATTTTGAACGCAATGAAACCATCTTTTAAATTAACAAAAATTGCCACCATTTTTATTTATATATTGGCACAAATAGGAGCCATATTTAAAATTTCCATTTCCTGTGTTTATATATGTATGTGTATAGGTAGACAAGATCCTCAACGTCATACCGAGGGATAGAAACACTTACCTCTATTCCGCCACCATGACGGCCAAGGTTAATAAACTGCAGAGGGCATCACTCAAAGAACCCGTCAAAATTCAAATTTCGGTTAACAAGTACCATACCGTGGAGAAGTTGGTCCAGTTCTACCTCTTCATACCGCTAAAATTCAAGGTTTATTTTTTTTGGTCATTTTAAATTCTGGGGGGGGCGGAACTTGAACAAGCGGATTTTCGTGTTCCCACTTTACGTTAAAACAGGTCCGCTCTCGACTCCGTTTAAACTGCATCACGTTCGGAGACGGATTTATGCTAAATTTGAATAAATAAAATTAATTTTAATCATTAATTCTTGAATCGGTTTTTATAATATAAAAACCAAAACTGTTTTTCTGTTCGATAAATGTTATTTAGGTTCGGTTCGCCCGGTTTAACCGATTTGGTATAAAGGTTCGGTTACGGTTAAAAAAAATTATAAAAGCTTATTCGGTTTGACGGCTTGATTTATTTCGAATCCACGGGAAATGTATTTAAACAATAATTTAAAAAACTACAAACTATATTATAAAAAGACAATGTCCATTGAGTTCCTTAGGAAAATGTCGCATCGGCCATACTGCCGTTATAATCTTGGGAATTCTTAATTTAACCAGACCGAGCTGAGCAGAGAAGGAATAAAAGAAAAATTTTTAATGATTATGATTGGAAGATTTTATTTCAAAATTACACAAAAAAATAAAGAAAACCCCCACCGATATCATTTGAATTTCATTATCATTATTGACTTCCTTATGTTTGTTTCTTGTACCTTAAGTAAATTTTCTTTAATGATACATTCAAAAATTAGATACAAATACACTTCAAAAAAAAACGTACTTAAAGATACAAATATTTTTACGTATACTTTAACAGAAACAGATAATAGAGTAGGAGTTAAACATTGAACAATTTCGAACATTTATTGCGCGCATTTTACTTGCGTATTATTTTGTAAAATATTTTAAGGGACCAGCTGACATTTTTATTATTAGTGAACTAATTTATTATATTTTTGTACTTCAGTTTATGTATCTTTTACAAAATCAATCTAAATACATCAATTAATTATCATACAACCTTTCTTTCTTTTTTATTTCTTTCTTTCTCTTTCTTTCTTACATATTTGAATACAATTAATATCAGCTGTCTTTAAGGTTAATTGATTCTATTACCAGACCCCTTCATCTAAAAACGGTTAAATGACATTTAGGAGAATGATTATTTCCTCGAAATACTCTCCCTTTAAAATATTTTTATACATGGTTACTGAAATTCTTTCAAGAACAAAATTAATGTATTCACTTTCATTTCCAGCATGAGCACAGCTGATTTTAATAAAACAGGTAAGATACGAATTCATGTCTCTTAATCGGATTACATGTAACGAATAACGGATTCCATTTGATTAAAAAGTATTTGTATTTTTTTTTTAAATCGTGATCGATACGAATTGAAGAAATTTTATCCGACCCAAAATTTAAAGCAAAAAATAATTTTAAAGATAGCAAAATTGAAGATTTTTTAATGATCACAAAAAAAATTTACTTTTTTAAAAATATTTTTTTTTGGAATTTTAGGCAAAATTTAATCAATCAAAAAATGCTTGTTTGAGAGCATTCTCAAAATCTTCAGATTAAAGAAAATTCTTCTGTGAAAATCTTTGAAGAATCATTTCAATTTTAATGTATATCTTTTCAAAAAAAAAAAATACAAAAATATATCGGTAGCCGGGGCTAGTCGGCACAAGGGGCTTGTCAGTTCAGCGGATTATATTTAAATAACCAGACATGTTTAGAAATTCAAAATTTAATGATGTGATAGCATTGTATATATAATATGTATTAGAAACCTTGCAGAGGTACCATTTGTATGGCCCGGTCCGGAATTTTTCAAAACCCGGCCCGGCCTGAGTATATTCGAAAAAATTAAAATACGGCCCGAATCGGGCCAGGGGAAAGATATTTTATACCCATACCCTTCAAAAGCTATTTAAATTTTCTTTATGATAAGATAATTGTTTCTTAGGTGAAAAACAAAATCAAAATATTATTTTTTTTTTAAACCACATTATTTGGCATTAAAATATGACAAAAAAATGATTAAAGAAAGATCGCTTTACAAAATTCTTCACTTTTCTTGAGAGTTTTTTTAAAATTTGCTTCTAGAAACGGATAATATCTACTCCTCTAAACGATCCGAATGTCACGTTTGCGCCTTCGATTAGCCTTTGATATATCGTTCTTACAAAAAAATATAACTTTTAATTTATTCCTTCTAGTAATGAATTCATTTGCAACCGAACGATGTTTTGATGAATGGGATTTTTGCAAACTTATTTACAATTTAGAGATAGGAATTCCTGAATTATCCAGCTATTTTTTTCGCGGTTGCCCAACTTTTGCTAGCTTAGAAAACGGGTTTTCGAGTCTTATTCGTCGATCGTTTTCACCCTATTACGATGGTTAGAATGCAGTTTTTTAAAAGCCATCTAGCGGATATTTTATTGTTTCTTTTTGTATTATTTATATTTGGTCGCCTACAAATTTAAAAAACCATATGGCTACTTTCCCGGGAACATTAAATAAATTTTAATGGTTTCTCCCATAAAACCCAATACTAAAAAACTTGGTAATTTAAATTTTGTCATAGATATATAAAACATTTAACCTATCGCAAATCATTTTATTTTTTTAAAAAAAATAGGTGATAAATGAATTATGAATCCTTACGCCATATAGCGGATTTTTTATTGTCAATTTTTTTATTTTTATTATTTTATATTTGGCCACCTGTATAATTTTTTAAAAAGCCAATATTCCTTACTTTTCGTGAATAAATTTAGGTTTCACCTATCGAAAAAGATTAGACACCCCTCACAGTTCCAACCTCTCCTAAACTTACTCTGCAATTAAATTGAAAAACGATTGGATGATGTTAATTCTTTAATTTCAACAATTTTGTATTAAAAAAAACTAATTTTATAATCGTCAAAAATATTAGAGAAACGAAACATTTCATGGTAATTCTTTAATAATCAATAATCAATTTTTATATAATTATTTTTCGATAATCTTTTTTTTTTACAATTATCTTCGAACACGAAAAATATAAAATCACGTGTTCTTCAATGTTAATTATAATCCAATCAACCTTATTTATTTTGGTTGATTGGCATTATGCAAAAATTAATATAAATTCATATATAAAACTACGACACCTTTAACCTTAATATTCGATGATAGCAGTGAATTTAAATTTAATCATAGATATATTTAAAACATTTAAAGGAAATCATTTCATTTTTAAAAATAATGTAAAGCGAAAAAAAATATATGATAAGCAAATTAAGATCCATTAATTGAAAAAAGTGGTCAGATTTTGCAGGACTTTATATATATATATGTATAATATATATTGAATTTTTTATTTATCGTACATACCAAAAATATTCATTTAAAAAAAAAGAAAAATAAAATTATAAAAATAACGGATAATGCATATATAAATGAAGGTAAAAAAAATTAAAATCTATATTAAAATGGGTCACTAGGAATTTTTTATTGAAAAATTTTAGGAAAAATAGGAAGTAGAAAGGGTCTTAAGTTAGACTACCATCGAAGCTAATGTAATTGTCTTATAAGGATTGCTAATGGCAAGTCTTTGTCGAAGGAAAAAACCCTCCTCGAAGTTCTTCTTAGTGTTGTTAAAAAGCCCGAGCAGGAGTTGGCTCAAGCCGGGTCAGATCTTGAAAATCGTTTATTCCTTCTAGTAATGAATTCATTTGCAACCGATTAAGATGTTTTGATGATGCTAGCCGATTTTATATTGTTAAATTTTTGATTTCGTAAAAATTATTTATAATTTGGTCGCCTTAAATAATTTTTAAAAGCAATATGGCTACTTCTCACGAAATTTCGAAATACATATTAATAGGTTTTCACCTAATATTTGATAATGACTCGGTAATTCGAATTTATCGTGAGTTATTGAAACATTTTAATCAACTTGAGAAGATAAATATTCCATTTTATTAAAATATATAAGCGTTTTTTTTTAGCTTTCACCTCTTTCTGGTAGTATAAGCTCCTTCAATATCTCTCTCCACTTTATGTTATTCATGCTGCTATCTCTTTTATCCGAATTTATACTTTTTTTCATATACGGTTTATCCGCAAAATTTTAGCCCGGGTTCGGTCCAGGTTCGGTTTACGGTTATCCGATTTTTTCCTCAAAAATCCGGGTTTTCTTCTCCGGGTTTGGGTTCGGTTCGAATCCCTGGCTATAACTTTATGGCCCCAGTTGAAGTTTTGGCATTCCTCTTCAACGTTTGCCCATCACTTTCAAACTCTCAACCCTAAAATTAATAAATATTCGAAATTAAATAACTTTATATTTCAGCCAATAGTCACATCAACTAAGGGCAATTTTAAAAAACTTTATCGCGAAAGGAAAATCGCGAATTCATATTTCTTGAACAAAAACTTCGACTAGAAATTTTTTAAACACAATTATTTCTTGTTTTTTTAGGTACATATTCATTAATAAATTAAGCTCTCTTTAGAGCCTCCGATACTTATAATATATATATTTATTTTTATATACTTTTTTTTTTATATATGATTTTGTGAATCTTTATTAATAAAGAATATTCTGATACAATTAGTTTTTTTTCTTCATATAATGTCCATTTGTTATAATTTCGTTATGTCGACAATTTATATCAAGGTAAGTTATAATAATAGTAAATCACAATTATATAAAGTCATTAATTCTTGCTATTTTTTTTTTGATTGAGATTCAAGTTCCGTTTTAGCGCTAACATTATAATAGGCAACAAAATGGCCAAAGTCTAAACTATGCATAGGATGTTCAATTACGGGGTTTCGGATATTGAAAAAATAAAACTGAGATAATTGTATTTTACTATGTTTATGGCTAATCGTTGTCGTAGGTAGAATCCCTCGTTGGGATCCTCGGTCCTAGCAGAGATCCCTTTTCCTAGCTCTTTAAAGAAGTCTAGGGCACGAGAGCCGAACGACGTTAAAGTAGAGGCGATTAATGGTTAGGAATGTATGATTGGCGGGAAGAGATGACGAATATTTAGCTAATTTATTCGCCTCGGCATCCAGTATGGCATCTCTATTTATATTGGAAGGGGCA